TAGATTTTTCAGTAACTTACGCCTAGGCTGAGACCAAATACTTGCGAGCTGAAGCCGCTACTATTACTTACTCCTTGTCTTTATAAAGTTCACTCAAACTCCAGTAACCACTTTACGAACTATCACTGACTTTCCTGACATACTAACAGCATTCCCAAACTCCCAATTCAGATGGCCTAGAAGAAACTTGTGTTCTCTAGTATTTCAATAAATCCTTTTTTCTATATACATATTGCCTGGTTGGTGTGATGTCTTGCTGAACACCTGGTCCTCGTTCAGTTTGCAGTCAGGTTCGATTGCTAATGATCTTCCTTTACATAGTACCATTAAAGATCTGTATTACCTCTTCATTTAGGACTTGCCAAGTAGGCTTCTGTATACCTAGTCCTCTGGATTTACCTGGATACATTACTTGGGTTTCATATAACTTTTGCATTACACTACTGTTCCGCATAATGATTTAAACCACATGATTTTGATCGGCTAGCTTAGCCAGCTAACCAAAACATTAGCTAAGCGGCTAGCTAATAGTTAACTAATAGCCTACTTTCAGTATATTTTGAAAAATTTTTCAAAAGTGTTTTGTATTTTTTTCAGATTTTTACTATTTGTAAATCATGTAATCTTTAGTCGTATTAGCTAGCTGATCAAATTATATTAGCTGGCTTAGTCGGCTAAGCCAGATTAGCCATAGCTGCTTTAGCCAGCTTAAGTCACTAGTTTTGCATCCTTCTAATATAAGCTGATATAATCAAGATTACAGATACCAATCCGTCAAATTACACACAGTCTGCTGTAATACATTCTATAAAATTCAAATTTTTGTTGCCAGTGGGATTCAAACTCTTATCCTACCACTTGGGGTGCAACAACTTACCAACTTTACTAAGTCGCTACATCCTTTAATAAAATTTTGTCAAAATCAAAGATATTTATTAATTGCTAAAATTTAGAGTTATAGTTCTAAAAACTATTTTTTTATAATTTTATTAAGACAATTACTAATTTAGTTTTATGAAACTAGGGCTATTTTGATTAGAAGAACATTTTTATTTAATATATAGAATTGATTAGCTTAATAAAATATTATAAAAAATAAGAAAATCACTAACTCTTCCCAACGATCACTTGTACCAAGTTTTCTCTAAAAACAATTATATTTTTTAGTAATACGAATCGAAACAAATATTGTAATCGATTAGTTGATTAAAAATTTTTTAAAAAATCGATTACAAATTGATTATTGCTAACTAATTGATTAATTGATTAATTGATTAGTTGATTAATCGATTAATCAATTAGTTGTTTAGTTGATCTAATTTAATAATAATACTGAATATAAATCTGATAAAAATTTTATTAAAAAGCAAATTAAAATAAAACCAACTAACTGATTAATCGATTAATCAATTAATAGTTAATTGATTAATCGATTAGTTGGTTAGGGCTGTGCAGTAAATCACGTAATTTCTGTTTACTATAAGATCTACCACCCTCTTCCCCCATGATAAAACTTAACCAATCAAATTTTATTTTTCTTAGAACATAATAGATTTGATACCCCTCCTAAAAAATCACGTAATTTCTTGCATTTTCTTTAATCGATTAATAGTTAGGTCAAAATTGTTAATTGATTAGTTGTCAACTCAGCCAACTAACTGATTAATCGATTTTTGATTCATATCACTACTGTGTATAATCTGATGGATCATTAAATCTGTAGCTTTGGTTATGCCAGCTTGTATTGAAAGATCGTAGAACTATAGTATGATATAAAAGTTATATAAAACATATGTGAAACGGTTGTATAAATCCAAGAGCTAGATATACAGAATCCTGCTTGGCAAGTTTTAAGTAGAGAGGTAGCACAAATCTTCAATAATACTACATAAAGGATGATTATTGGTAATTAGACACCAACAGTAAACTGGACAAGAACTGGGTGTTTGACAAATACTAATATCAACCAGGCTATATATATATGAGGGTGGCTCTGTATAAATAAGAAAAAATGATTTAATCAGAATACTAAAGAATGCTCACTGGTCTCTCTCTGAGCTATCTGAATCAGAAGTTTGGATGCTATTGGTGAAAGAAAGTCAGTGTTAATCTATAAAGTCTGTACTAGGGTTTAGGTGAACTCTATAAAAGCAGAAGTAGATAATAATAACAGCTTTAGCTTGCAAATATTTGTTCTCAGACTTGGCATAAGTTGCTGAAGTCTAGATTAGCCGGATTGTAGATATGAAAAGCTTTAGCAAGTTTATCTTAAGGACAAAGAACCTCTATAAGTGGGTTTATCTTAAAGTTTTAAGTTAAGGATCTGAAAATAAGGGGTACTAATGTATTCTTGCTTGGTTAGAAGATTAATATATATAAGCACAGAGTTACAGTAGGATATAAATATAGCAGCTAGTGTAGTATTTAGTAATAAGAGACTACTTAAATAGACAACCAAAAAGTTGCACATATAGCTAGTTGTATTCTTTAAATATATATATAATATGGTGTATACTATACTGTAAAAGTTAACAATAACTGAATAAAAGGACAGTAATTAAGAGATCATTTTAAAACCAAAAAAAAAATTTAAATACTATATAATGAAAAAATCTAAACAGTGCACTATACGCTTTGTGCATTCTATAGCAAAATTGAGCTAGCAATAGATATTAGATTAGGTTAAGGTTAGAATTAGAGTTAAGATTTAGGGCTAGGGTAAAATAAAATTTTAAAAAGAACATTTTTGTTTATATTATACAACAAGAGTTATCTAGTTAAAATTTTGAGAAATTAGCAATTTTATAGAAATTTTATAGCAAGATGCACAAAGTGCAGGGTGCATTGTATAGTTTTGTCCCTATATAATTATAGTTTTTATTTAAAAAAATTTTTTATTTTTAACAAAATAGATCAGATGTGAATTTATAAAATTTAAGCAGGCAATTTGACTGCTTATCTGGATAGTTTAAGAGATAGTTAATATTGTGATCTATTTGATTAACAATATAATAATAATACTTGTACCTCTTGAAAAAACAATTAAAAAATATCTCTATAGACTATTATATAGATTAAATATAACATTTCAACTAATAATATTTTATATTATAACATTTCAACTAATAATATTTTATATTATCAAATCTAAGTAATTTTTAATCATTCTAGTAGATTTAGATTATAGATGAATCAAAATTTTTAGTTTAAATAGTTTTTGATAGTCTGCGTTTTATTCTTATAAAAATTTTTGTAAATTGGCTCTGTTTAGAAAAATTAATAGTAGATTTTAATACAAAATTTTAATAAAGATAAAGACAAAACTTTATCTTAAAATAAAAAAATATATATATTTTGATATATTTTATTTTTATTAGTTTTTATATCTTTTTTTATTTTTTACAAAATGTTATTAGATTAACAATATTTTATTATAGAATAAAGGTTAAACCAAATTATTCTTATTATATATTATAAAGTAGTAATATGAAAAGTTATATAAAAGTATTAAGATTGTTAATTGTAATAAATTAAAATAAAATCTAATTAAAATATTTTTTTTATATTTTTTAAAAAATAAAATTTTTTAGAGAATATTTTTTAAAAGTTTTTTTAGCATTAGAGTTAAGGTTTAAAGCTAGAATTATTAATAAATAAGTTATATAGGTTTTATAAACTCTAAAGAGAAGTAAAAAAGGGTCCTATTTTATTTTGATCAGATTTCTTTTTAATTTGTGACAGTAATTGAATAAGATTAAGTTTAAAGATTAAATAAGCTATAGTCAAACTTTCTAAATATATAGTATTAGAACCATAGCAAAAAATTGAAAAAATATGCATTTAAAGAGGTTATATATTTAGAAAGGTAAAAATTTATAAGTGTTATATTAGTTGGGCCCAAGAAAAAACATGCATTTAGAAAAGTTTTTCATATATATGCATTTAGAGAGGTTGCATTTAGAAAGGTCTGACTGTATATACAAATTGTGCTTGTATAATAAATTTTAAGTATATTTAATAAAGTACTAGTATAACTGCTTAAGAATAAAAAAATATATATGTTGTAAGTGGAAACGGAATTTAAGTGAATTCGGAATTTATATATAAAACTCCCGTTTTGGGGTTGATTTTATCATATGTAAACCCTAACCCTAACCCTAATTTAACTAGGAAATTCCAAATCCACTTAAATCCCATTCCCACTTACAACATTTATACAAGAAAAGTATATAAAATTCATTATGAATGTTTTAAACATTACAAAATTTTGTCAACACAAAATAAAAATATCGGAATTATAAATTTGAAAGAACTTTATTGCTATCGGATTGAATTATGGAACGGACATGTGTACCAGTTCTGCAGTTATGATAGGTTATCGATTTTGACAGGATCAGTTTGAAAGGGTAGACTTATAAATATAGATTTATTCATTGAAGGTGTTATCATATATAATTATGAGGTCAGAAATCATTTAAATCGGTTCAAAAAGACTGGTTCAAATCACGATCTTAGCAGGATCATAATATCCCTAGGCCCAATAACAATAGTTCGGATCAGAACAATTATGTATACTATCCAATCATAATAGAGTATGCACACATGAGTTGATCCAAATACAGGGGCAATCCAGTTGGCTTGGTTAAAAAAAAAGTTTAAGGACCGCAATCCGAGAAATTCGGAGATGATCATTGAATTAAACAAGAAAATTCAAGAACGAATTTCACGTTTTTTTTCTGTTGATCAAGAATGTGATAATTTAATGATATTTAAAGAAAAAGAGGAAATTGAATTTTTTAAAAAAAATAATATTTAAAATTGTCATGCCTTCTTCCGCTATTAAAAGAAATACGTTCGAAAAAGAAATCTTCGATATTCTTTGCCGTACTTGTGCAGTATGTCATCGGATAAGGTAAATATCCCCAAGTTATATTAGACATAAAAATTGGTGAAAAGGCTTTTCGTGGCCATATATAGATCAAGCATATGGTGACGACCCGCTATGACAATGATAATATAAATTCGCTTTCTAGATATTCACCAGGCGGCAGAGGACCAGACATAATTGGAACCTTTACAAAAACTGTGATTCTTGTCCAATGTAAATACCATAAAAGAAGAAGAATCGGTAAGTACTGACCTGGTGTATTCCTTATGTGATATGATTAGAAATAAATATTACTTAATCAATATAAATCAATTGTAGGTCCTACGTCCGTGCAAAAATTAGAACAATTGTTATCCAATTTCCCCAATGATACAATTGGAATCATAGTAGTCCCGTCAAAAAATAAATTTAATTATAGTACTACAGAAAGAGTTAGAACATCCAAGCATAATATTATCTTAACGGACGGAAGACATTTATACTCGGATCTCATTCGATTCTTTGAAAATCACAAAGCTCAAAGACCTCTTAATTTTAATTTCAAATTAACTGTTGTTTTTTTATCAGCTATTATGATTTTTTTATTAATGATTCAAATTTTAATCACATTACATATGTACTTTTTTTAAATAATATTTTCTTAATAAAAATAGCCCTTTTTTAGAGTAGAAATCATTACGTTAAATATACAAAATTTCCTTTGAAAATTAGCTACTTTTAAAGATTTCAGTCCCATAATTATACTCCGCTGCAACAAAAAAGGGATTTTTCGTAGGTACATATGGCATGCTTTCGCTAGCGTATTTCGTTTCGGTGCATCTCGCCGTGGGCAGTGTTGTTAAATTTGCATGGTCATTTGCCTTTTTAAAATGACTTTTGTCAGGTCATTTAGGTCATTCGAAATTTATTATTAAATTTCATATGTAAAAAGTCATTTCAAGTCATTTAAAAGTTATTTGCGACTATTTTTAGGTCATTTAAACAATACTGACCGCGGTGTCTATCTTTCTATCTTGTAAGTTTCATTTTTCACAGACCCTCTTCAATATAATGTGTTCTAAGAGTACTGTAGCCGAACAGGAGAAACGTTCGGTTCACGCGAATTTTGATCGTTCGATGCGTTTCCTGTCTTGATTTGTCTCTTAGTCATACGTGCATTATTTTTTGTTCTATAGTGAAAACGGGATGCTTCATTGATTGTAATGAATGAGAAATATCTTGTGACCAGTTAAGCAATTTATAAAACGTTCGATTCGTGAAATATTTCTCAATTGCGTTAAATATATCCTATATGATTTTTGCAAAGCGATTGAGATTTGTCACATAACTACCGTTGATCTTTTGGGAGTCTATTTGGTATTGTCAGCTTGTTCATGGTATTTGTTGCAATAGTCTAAGCCAATGCTGGTCAATAGAAAATTTTAATCTTCTATATACAATAAATTAATATAGTTTTAACATCAAAAAGTCTTAATAGAGCAATAGAACAATAGAATAGAATAAGCAAATTTTCAATAGAGCAATAGAATAAAATAAGCAAATTTCCAATAGAATAATAGAGTGTTAACACTGATCTAAACAATCGAATTCATCTATAACTGACACAAAGATAAAATTCAATTAAACGATGAGAATTCACCGACCTGGTAATAAACGTATCTGGTTCGTATAAAGTTGAGACATTTTTAGATTGTTTATTTTTTTTTAACAAACAAAAAAATACTAATATCTCAAAATTTTACTAAAATAATTCTAATTTTACATATATTTATATTTATAATATTGGTTTAAATAATTTTGTAAAGTCATTATTAGGACGGAACTAGACAAGGTCAAAAAAGAAAAATATACAATATTAACCTAACGTTATGATATCAACATTCATACTCTTTGTCAAAAAGCGATAATAGAACATTCATATCGTCAAGAATGTATAATTGTTCGAACATCGGAGAAGAAAGATTGTAATTTAGAGATTTTTGATTTTTGATGCTTTTTTTCCAGATATGTATGGGTCTGAAAATTTTGAATCATAGAATCCAGTCTAGTGTGATCCATTTTTACTGTGTTTTGGTAGTCCTGGCCTGCTTTTTTAGATTTACGGGCCCGTCGTCATGGGATACGATTTTCTATAAGAGAAGCGTTGTGCGGGAAGAGTAATTAGGAAATAAGCGGATAACATATCTGAAATGGACGTCAATGGACGTCATAATTTGTGCCGATATTGCTGTGTTAAAGAACCATCCTTTTGTCATTCAAGCGTATGCATGCATGCATTGACATTTTTTTAAAAGAAAAAAAATCCCATTTTGTAAGGTTTTCCGGTTTAATATTCTATTTTAGGCATAGTGTATAATGTTTATAGAATTTTCATTTAATTAAAAGCTATATAAATGTCACTAAGGTTGCGTGGTGTAATGGTTAGCACCCAGGACTCTGAATCCTGTGATCCGAGTTCGAATCTCGGCGTGACCTTTTACACTTTTTTTTTTTTTTTTTTTTGGACTATAACAGATGATGGTAAATGACCCAATCATTTGATCAAAATTTTTGATCAAAATTTACTTATACACAAGTCATCAAATAATGACCAGGCCCTTGAGTTATTAAAATCATTTAGGCTATTTACGCATGGAATAATTTTATCGGTCGAATGTCCAATATAAAAGGTTATCGAGCACTGTTACTTCTCTACTCTATATAAAAATACAAAATTTACCGATTAACGTTAATATTGGCGCCTTAAAGTTATTCGGAATAAAAATTACATACGTTCAAAAACTTGCAAGTAATTTGAATGACTTTTTATTAATATATTTTTACGTTTTACATATGCATGAAAAATTTTTAGTGTAAATATAAAATATAAAAATGAATTAATAAAAAGTTACTGAATGAATAAAATTTTAGAATATACGTAATTTGTTTATCTCGAATACCTTTCATTAAGTTGCAAATATCAATTTTAACTTTGTAAAATTTGACTTTTACGCATATCCAAATCAATAATCTTTATAAAGTGTTATAACCCGTCATCATACGACGGTTATAGAGCATAGCGGGCTTTCATTGTAATTGGCTGATTTTTGTAGATCATCCCGTGATATTGCAAAAATATCATTGGTTA